GAGGAAGAGGGATCGGATGAAGGAAGTGAAAACGAAGAACCGAATCAACTTTCGGTTGCTAACGACCTGAATGAATGTAACAAAGAAAATTTCAATGAGAAACCTTATAACAATAGTGCCACAACTCAGAGTCCATCCTTTTTGGACATCTCCTCGCCAGGATGCGACAGACAGCCGAATTCCCTCAACCAAGCATCCATCACAAATACGTCACTTCCGCTGATTTGCTCGATTCCATCCCTATCGAATCAGCCTTATTACTATGACACCTCTGAATCATCAATATCCCCGTTTCAATTTCAATGCTGCTCGCCAGCACACCCTTCATTAAGCACATTTCAAACACCATCAATATCTCCAGATTCCAACGTTTCACAAGGTACTCAATAGTACTTCAATAATTTTTCATTTTTCAAATTTGCCAGTGAAATTTTGAACGTTTCACAAAAACAAACGAACTTTTTGATAAGTGAATGAATTGGCTTGCAGCATCGCCTGGCCGTCAACAAAAGCAACAACCCGAAACTACTCAACCGGCACCAAGCAATGAGGAACGAATCAGCTTCCTAAGAGGTTCATTTCTGGAAGCCAATTTTATACGTTCCATTTTGTGGTCAGCATGCGAAAAGTTGTAACGCATTGATGAGATTTTGTGTAGCCTTTCAAACTTTTAACCACAATGAAATTTAACGTTCATCTTTCATAATTAAAGCAATTCAACATGATTAAAACATCCTTCTGCAGTTTCACTACTTTAAGTGTTAAATTTCGAAACCCCTGTCACCATAAATCGCTGAACGGTTTATTAACACATACTGTTTAAGCATGACTTACAGTGGGAAGTGTTCATTTGAAGGTTTATCACAAGCGACCTTATGGCATTTCGTTCTCGACTGTCTATCGAAACCATCATATTATAACAGCGTTTGTGCTTGGGCATCGCATCCATGGCAGTTTTGCATAACTCATACGAAGCGATTCACTGAGAAATGGGATGAGTACAACTGTAACCGTCAACCAGTTCGTTCTGTGTTCACACGTCCTTCTCGTTCATCCTTCACAAAGACTGACCTCTGTGCATGAATCACAGCCGTTTTTGAACACTTCTAAACTGATATGACTGCGAATGTCAATCTACGAACATATTCTTTCATTCAATTCAGTCCTCTATTTCAGGTATCATACGTGAAGGTGTCAAGAGCGCTGAAAAGTTTTGAGAGTACTCAGTTCGCAGGTTTCACATTATTGAGACGTGTTTCAGCGGCTCGGAACACGTTTCGTTTTTTACCGGACCACAACTCGCCGCACATTCCTCACATCCGGTGCGATCCTCAAGTGTCAGCTGCGCCCCCCTTCCAACAACAACAATCGTCATTTGCCACCATCAGTCCACTTTTTCCTGGTGCACCTCAATCAATCTACGATCCTACGTTCTTTCAAAATTATCCCTCTCCTTTTGGTACGGTCAAAACTTGTTAACCATCGCTGTTTAACATTTTCGAGGTTATTTTGCAGACTACTTTTCAAAGTTATTTTGCAGAAGTAACTTTGAGTTGTACTTTGCAATTATCGTATCGCAACCAGTTAATGATGAGTCGAAAACCTGAAATGAAATCCGACCATATTTCAGACTATTCGTCGAGAGTTCGTATGTCTATCCAACCCTCAACAGCGGAAACGTACCATCCCGTGATGCGCTCAAACCAATATCGCAGAACTAATCAGCGTTATTTTCCTTATTTCACTCAGGTCAAAATATTTCATTGAATTCATAATACGAAAGGTGTTACTTTTATTCGTCAATAAGAGTTGTGCTTTTATCGTGTGCGAAGTCTTCAGGTTATATGTGACTTTGCAAAAAATTATAACCGATGCTAATGATTTTTCAGGGATTCGCCTCAAGTACGCCGATACGTGACAGTAATGGATTTGGACGAGAGCTGTCGAATAGAGCAGTGCAGTGGAGTTATCAACCTCCGTCTTCGTTCGCACCACCACCCTTCTCTTATGCGCCAACGTTGTGTCAGCAGAATCAGTGCGCTGATCAAGGTCAAATCAACGTTTTTGAACATAACGCTTCATCCGTTCGGCCTTCGGACTCTCAGCCGATGTCATTTTATCAATCGTCTCAACAGGTTTCTTTCATTTATGATAACCTTGCAGCGATTCTTTAGCTTAATTACTTACTGCAGAGTGCCACTAAGGCGACTTCGCTAACGTGCTATCGTCCTCTCGTGCTATTTGCACATATTCGTCACTTAATTCTATCGTATACCATACTCATGTTTATGCTTTGATCATGAGTTATTTAATTTGAATAAATGTTGTCAAACATTTAATCTTGTCATATTCAAGTTCAATCTTATCAGGCAATTTAATGAGACGTATCCCAGTTCGAGAACATCTTATTCATAATTCATAATG